GCACACAGGAATCAGTTACTTCCTCAGCACATCCCTGGGTGGCTCATTTATCCTCAGACATCTTCAGCTCCAGTACAGTGGACTAAGGATGAGCATTTATGGACTGGGCCTCTCACTGTTGCTCATCACAAAACCATATCGATTTCCCACATCCCTTAAAACAAGTGTAAATTTATCCCAAGCCAATAAAGTATCAGAAAATTAGCTCCAAAGCAGCGATGTCCCTGCGGTGCCGAATAACTGCCAATGTAAAGCCACCGTGTAGGGCTCTTTCCCACCCCAGACCACGCAAAATTTCTACAGGGGAAAAAAACCCCACTGCAGATGACACCACAGTCAAACATTATAGAACATGCCAGGAAATAACGCACCGTGAACAAGAACAAGCAGACGCAAAACATGAGAGTATTAGCATTCTCGAAACTTGAGCCAATAGAACGATCTGAAAAAGACTATAAAATAAACATTTAAAATAGTTGAAGAGACCATAAGAAAAATAGAAATCATAAGGGAATACCAAGAAACCATGAAAATAGGGCAGATGGATTTGAAAAACTATCGTAATAACTTTTAGAAATTAGCAAAATATATAGAACCATTAAAATTTCCAATGTAAAGTGTGGGTTAGACATCAGACTCACAGAGCTGGAGACAAACAAAGGGAGCAGAAGGATGTGCCCGAGGAAATCACCTAGCAGGTAGCACAGATGAATTAAGCGCTGAAAACTACAAAACAGAAGAGTTCTAGAGGGAAGAAGGGAGAAAATGGGTATGCAATATTAGGAATATATTTGCCTGAGAATTTTTCAGAATTAAAGAAAAATCTTAATCTTCCAAAGAAACAGCACATTGAATTTCCAAACAGATAAGTAAAATTAACTCATACTCAGACACTTTATGGCAGACATAAAGAAAAACAAAGAAGACGGAAAGTCTTAAAGACAACCAGAGAGAAAAACAGAATACGTTGAAAGGGACGACAATCAGGCTGATGGAGAAGCCCCAGTACCATCAAGAGACATCAGAAGACAGAGGCATAGTCCCTTCTAAGTGCTGAGAGGAAACAACTGTGAATTTAAAATCCTGTTTGTAGTTAAACTATAATTCATGAGCAAGGGTAAAATTAAGACCTTTTCAGACACGAGGTTAGAGATTTTCTCACTCATGGGTCCACCTGAAAGTACTTCTAAAGCATATACTTCAGGAAAAAGGAAATTAAATCAACAAGGGTGGGTGAAACGCAAGAAGCAACGGTGAGCAAAGAAACCAGCAAACTTGTGGGTAAAGATAAATAAGCACTGACTTATTCATAATAACAACAACTATGAAAATGATGACCACTGGGGGGAGATTAAAGACAAGCGGAACTAAAACACTGGTCAACAATAACATGAAAGATGGGAGAGGATGGTGGGCATTAAGACATCCTAGGATCCTTATTTCGTTCTGTTGGAGAACAGAGGCATTCATCAGCTTTACAGTTTGTTAAATCATAGATCAAGGTTAAAATGTAAGGGTATGGTGAGGCATCCTGTGCTCATGGATTGGGAGACTCAACATAATAAACAAGTCAATTATCCCAAAATTGATCTATGAATTCAATGCAATTCTAATCAAAATGCCAGAGGATTTTTTTTTTTTTTTTTTGGTGAGGAAGATTCACCCCCTGAGCTAACATCTGTTGCCAATCTTCCTCTTTTTTTGCTTGAGGAAGATTAGCCCTGAGCTAACATCTGTGCCAATCTTTTTCTATTTTTTGGATGTGGGATGCCTCCACAGCATGGCTGATGAGTGGAGTAGGTCCACATCTGGGATCCAAACCTATGAACCCGGGCTGCCAAAGCAGAGTGCAATGAACTTCAACCATTTGGCCATGGGGCCAGCCCCCAGAGGATTCTTTTTCGGTTACAGACAAGCTCATTATAAAATTTATATGGAAAGGCAAATGAATAAAAATAGGTAAAACAATTTTGAAGGAGAAGAATAAAGTTGGAGGATTCACAGGACCCAATTTTAAGATTTAATGATAAAGCTGCAGTAATCAAGATAGTGACAGTGGCAAAGGAATAGACACATAGACTAATGGAACAGAATAGAAAGTCTAGATAGACCAACATAAATATGGCCTACTGATTTTTGATAATGGTGCCAAAATAATTTAATGGAAAAAACCAGTCTTTCTGACAAATGATGCTAAAACAACTTAACATCCATATGCAAAAAGAGGAAAAATAACCTTATAAAAAAACTAACTTAAAATGGATCATAGATCTAAATGTAAATATAAAACTTTTAGCAAATCATGTAGAACAAAATCTTCCTATCCTGGGATTGGGAAAGAATTCTTCAATGTGCACCAAAAGCATGATTCATAAAAGAAAAAAAGGATAATTGGATTTCATCAAAATTAAAAACTTTTGCTTTGCAAATGACACATAGCAGAATGTAAAAGATAAGCTAAAGACTGGGAGAAAATATTTGCAAATCTTATATCCAATAAACAACTTATATCCAGAGTTAATAAAGAACTGTTAAATTAAACAGTAAGAAAACAAATAATCCAATTAAAAAATGAGCAGAAGGCTTGAACAGATGCTTCCTCAAAGAGAATACGTGGATGACAAGCACATGAAACGATGTTCAACATCATTAATTTATATTTATACAGAAACATGTGCACAAATATTTACAGCAGCTCTATTCATAATAGCTACAAACTGGAAACAATTCAAATGGCTTTCCATGGGCGAATGGATCAACTGTGGTACATCCATGTGCTGGAATGCTACTCAGCGATAGAAAGGGAGGAACTTCTGATACATGCAACAACTTGAATGAATTTCAAAGGTACGCTGCAGGAAAGAATCCAGTCTCAAGACGCGACATACTGTATGTTTCCACTGATGTGATATTCTCAAAACCACAAAACTAGAGTGATGGAAAACAGACCAGTGGTTGCCATGGCTGGGGAGAGCGTGACTCTAAAGGAATAGCATGATGGAGTTTTCGCAGTCATGGCACTGTTTGGAATCCCGATTGTGGTGGTTACACAAATATATAAATGTGTTCAAGCTTACAGAACTGTAATCACCCCCCACAAAAAGTCAATTTTACTCTCTAATAATTTTTTAAAATGTTTCAGTGGAAGGATAGCTGGCAATGTATAACTTTCAAACTAGTAGGAATTAAAAAATACGACTAAAGAAACAGGACAAGACGCTAAAAGGGGGAAAAACATAGATAAGCAACAAGCTTAAGCACACCAACTCCAGGAGAGTAGCTTCTTCTGGGGAAGAAGTGAGGAGCCGAGAGAGAGTTAATGTTTTATTTCTTTTAAAAAACGAGGTGTCTGACAACCCAAGTGTTCATCAACAAGTGAATGGATAAATAGAACATGGTATAGCCATGCAATGGTATATTATTCAGCAACAAAAGAATGAAGTTCCGACACAAGCTGCAACATGGATGAACTTTGAAAAGATGATGCTAAGTGAAATAAACGAGATACAAAAGAACAAATATTGTATGGTTCCACTTGTATGAAATATGTAGAATGGGCAAATTCGTAGAGACAGAAAGTAGATTAGAGGGAGCCAGGGGCTGAGGGGAGGGCCAAATGGAGAATTAATGGATACAGAGTTTTTGCTTGAGGTTGACGAAAAAATTTTAGACATAGTGGTGACAGTTGCACAACATTGTGAATATAATTAATGCCACTGATTGTATACTTAAATTGATTAAAACGGCAAATTTTTTATGTATATTTACCACAATTAAAAAATAATATATCAAAACCATTAAATTGTACATTCTAAATGGGTGAATGCTATGGTATGTGAATTATGTCCCAATAAAGCTGTTAAAAGCAAAAAGAAAAGAAAAAATGGGGTATCTGAAGGAAAACTAACAATTCTTTTTAGTCAGTATATAGGTATCTGTTATATTATTTTCTTTGTTATATTTTGAATATTTTTTTTTATTGAGGAAGATTAGCCCTGAGCTAACTGCTGCCAATTCTCCTCTTTTTGCTGAGGAAGACTGGCCCTGAGCTAACATCCATGCCCATCTTCCTCTACTTTATATGTGGGACGCCTTCCACAGCATGGCTTGCCAAGCGTGCCACATCTGCACCCAGGATCCGAACTGGTGAACCCTGGGCCACCGAAGTGGAACGTGTACACTTAACTGCTGCACCACCGGGCTGGCCCTATATTTTGAATTTATTTGCATTAAAAATAAAATAATTTTTAGAGAAAAGGGAACTCTTACTGGGCAATTCTGTGCTATTGAATTCCGTGTTCATAAATTACGTAAAATTCTCACCCATCTCTCTCTGCCATAGGGCACATCACCAAGAACCAGAGGCTCCATGTCACAGAAAGGCCACTTGTCTAAGAATGGGGAGGCCTGGGTCTGTCTCTCCCGAACTGACTGGTGTCCTCGGGAGAGTTACTAGACATCTTTGAGTGGCACGTTCTCATCTTAGACATTTTATCTCCCCTTCACAGGTGTCCAGGGGACCAAATGGGATCATAGCATAAGTGCACCATAACCTAAAGAATGATGGACAAATGTGCAAATGGCAGGAAGCGTTAAACACATGATTAGATGTGGAGAAGTCCACAGAGCTCATCATGGTCAGTGCTGTGACCCTCCTCCCGCCAAGCCCATCACAGGCACTGCTCACAAATGTCCCCACTTCCTGGCATGAAGCACAAGCAATCACAGAGAATCACACGGGAGGTGAGCCACTAGCTGCATGCTCCGTCCTCAGCAAGCTGGAGCAGGGATGGCTGCTCCATAGCTACACATAACTCTGTAGTTTCTGACTTTCAGATGTGCTTTGAGGAGAAACAAAACACTAAAAGCCAAGGGAACTTTCTGGTGGGAGAGGACGGCATAGCCCAGAGTCGAATCCATGGCCCCAGAAGCATCCCCACCAAGTTTGTGAGATGCCCAATCATCCCTTATCCCCTGGGAGGGGGGTCGAGGCCACTTACCGACGGTGGTCAAGGTGTACTGGTAGGGCTCTGAGAGGAAGTGCGGGAGGGTGAGGACAAAGGCACCCAAAGCTAGGAGGAGACCCCCAATGCCAATCAGCCGCGGACGGTGCACCCGGCTGCCAAAGTAGCTGACGAAGATGATGAGGATGGCGTTGCTGATCTGCGAAGAGGGCAGAGGGGCTGAGTGAGACTAGAGACTCCATCCTCACCCACCCACAGAGGAGACCTGCCCCGTACCTTGTCCAGGAAAAGCAGAGAGGCAGGAAGCTGTCCAGGGTAGCTGGGGCCCAGCAGAGCTGCAGTGTCAGCCCCACCCAGGGAGACTTGCAGTGGGCCGAGCACACCCAGTTTCAGCTTTCCTCTTGTCAGAAACCCTGCCCAGCCTCAGCCTTCTAGACCAGACCAAGGGAAGTATCTGGAGACCACGAAAAACCCATAGCCTAAATTGCAACCATCTTAGAACCAAACCTTTTGGGACAAAATCCAACAAAGACTCCACTTCTGGCCTGCTCCTGGGCACAGCACATATTCCCTAATTAAACTTCCCAAGGACTCCTCTTGGAGGTCGGAATAACTGCCCAGCAACACGTGCTATCTCGTTTCATCAGGCAACAACTCTCATTTTCAGACGACAAAATTTTGGCTCAGAATATTAGGTGATTGCCCATGTCCCTGAGGCTGGGAGCTGGCTTGAACAGGGATAGCAGCCAGTCTTAACCTGACTGGTCTACTGCCTCTTGCAGAAGTGGGTTTCTGTGCCAGCAGTTGTCTCTAACCTGCCCCCGTCCCTCCTTGGGCTGGTTTCCACTTGTGTCGAGGAGGGACAAGGACTAAAGTACGCTGAGTCCCTTCCCGCTGGAAACATCAGTAACTCCATGTTCCTGGCACTCTCTGGAAGGTGTGCTCTCAGAGCCCCACCCAGAGCCAGGGAAGGGAACTGAGGTCCCAGCTTGGGGAGCAGAGTCTTAAATGGTAAAAGGGTGTGCTGGCAGATCTTTGAATCACGACTCCATCCGAAGAGGTGTCCTTCTGCCCCAGAAGAGGGACTAAGTTCACCTGGAATAGAGGAACCCTGAATATCAGTACCCACAGCCCCTGCCCTGTCTACACCACATGTCTCCTTCTGGCTGGAAAAGCAGGTGCCTCTGCCTCAGGACATAGATGCCAAAGTCTTGTTACGTGGCTCTTACAAAGACCACCAATGATCTTCTCATTGCCAAATCCACTGGTCAGTTCTCCGTTCTCTTCTTACTTGATCTCTCAGCACCATTGATTCAGTTGACCACTTCTTTCTTCCTGAAACACTTCCTTCACTGAGTTTCCATGATACCACCTTCTCTTAGTTCCTTCCCCTGGCTGTTCTTTCTCTGTCTCCTTGGCTGGTTCAACTCTCAGCTCTCAGAGCTCAGTCCCTGCACCTCTGCTCTAGTCTTGGTGAGCTCATCCAGTCCTATGGCCTTACATGTTCTCTATGTGCTTCTAATTCCCATAGGCTTAGTACACCCCAAATCTCACTCATCTTCCCCCTGAAAACCTGATTCCCCCTCCCCAGTGCTCCTCATCTCAGTAAATGGCACTTCCATCCTACCAGTGGCTCAAGTAAAACATCTGAGCATCATCTTAGGCTGCTCTTTCATACCCACACCCAAACATCAGCAAATCCCATTGGCTGGACCTTCAATGGCCACCCAGAAGCTGACCACTTCTCACCACCTCCATCATTGCCATCTCATCTAAGCCTCCATCTTATCCTCTCTGAATTATTGCAGTAGCCTCCTACCTGGCTCCCTGCCTCCACTCTTGCCTCGCTGCAGTCTGTTCTCTCCCCAGCAGCCAGAGGGGTCCTGTCGAAATGTCAGACCATGTTCCCTCTGCTCAGACCCACAATAGTAAAAGGCAAAGTCTGTCTCTGAGCCTCCAGGGCCCCACGGAGCCTGCCCCCTTCTCTGTTCCGGCTCTGATCTGCTCTCCTACCTCTCCCCATTCCCTCCTTCTATTCTAGCCACTCCGCCTCCAGCTGTTCTCTGAACATGGCAGGTGTGTGTGCCCACCTCAGGGCCTGTGGACTTGCTGCTCCTTCTGTCTTATGTGTCCACAGGGTTCCCTTCTCATCGAACCTACTTTAGATCTCTGCTCAGATTGAACATTCTCATTAAGGCCTTTTCTGAAAAAGAGGGGGATGGGGGCGGGTGACGTGGGTGAAGGGGGTCAAATGGTACAAACTTCCAGTAAAATAAGATAAATAAGTCCTGAGGATGTAAAGTAACAGCATGGTGACTATAGTTAACAATACTGTATTGTATAGTTAAAAGTTGCTAAGAGAGTAGATCTCAAAAGTTCTGATCACAAGAAAAAAATTTTTAACTATGTAGGGTGGTGGATGTTAACCAGATTTATCTTGGTGATCATTTCACAATATATACAAATGTTGAATCATCATGTTGTGCACCTGAAATGAATACGTTAAATGTCAATTCTCTCTCCATAAAAAAGAGTCGTTTAAATATAACATATTTACAATAATTAATGACAATGTTTCAGTATACTTAAATATATCTTAAAATTTAAATCATATTTAAATATATTTTATTATTTTAATTATATTTAAATATATTGATAATTTAAATATAATTTAAAGAATAAAAAGTTATTTAAAATATAACCACCACTCCCCTCCAAAACTTTATTTTTCTTCATATCACTTATCATAATCTGATTTACCGTGTTTTATTTATTTCTACAAATAAATGTCATATTTAACATTAGAATGATATATGAGCAGAGATTTTGTCTGTCTGTTCATTCCTGTCTCCTTGGCACCTAGAACAGTGTCTGACACATAGTCGGTGCTCATTAAATATCTGTTGAATAAATGAATAAATGAATGAGTCAATGGTCGGCTTTTTCAAGAAGACACAATCGCCCAGGAGACCCCTCCTGCGTGGCCAAGAGTAAGATGGTTTATGACACACAGAGAAAGGGGATGTGAAGGTATGTGAGGAGGCGGCCTCGCCTGATCCAGGGAGCCACTCCAGTCCCTGGTCAGACGTAGTTCTAGGACATTCTGAAACCCGTACCTGGAAACAAAACTTTATTTATGCTTCTTTGATTTTATTTCCTTTTTGTTTCTCCATCATTTTTCATGAAATGGTTGTAAATGTCGGACCACATCTGCTGAGCTGATGGAGGCTGACTTTAAATGGTCTAGCGGAGGGATGGGGAAGGGCGCCAAAGTGGGACTCAGGGAGGAGGGACCGGGGCTGCCCGGCTGCCGTCTGGAGGGGCCCTTCCAGCGCTCACTGTCCGGGGCCTGGGCTCGTTTCTCGGAGGGAGGCTGGACGGCCACAGCTGTTATGGCTGATGCTGGCCTAAGACCTCGCTTTCCAAACTTTTCTTCAGCAGTGGTGTCTCTTTGAAAAGACAATTTTTCCCTAAAATAAATAATGAAAATGAAGCTGTTCTAGCCGAGGAGAGGAAGGCCTCTGCATGCGGACCTCCGCTCCTCAGCCCTGAAGAAGGCCTTAGAACAGCTCCGTGGACTTCCCGTATTGACATCTACGGTTGTTAAGAACATCCCTGCCCATCAGTGTCTCAAACCAAAGGGGCCCCAGGCAAACTGGTGGGAGGCATTAAGCGGGGGAGCCTCTAGGGTTCCTATTGACTTGGTCTGCTCCGCCCTGGCCTTTAGTAGCTGGCAAGAGAAGCTGCTGCTTCACAGGGAAGATGCCTGACGTCTTCTCCTGTCAGCCAAGCTCCTCCTGCTGCTGTCCTTTTACACCAGCCCTGGCCTCCCCTTCACCCGACCTGCTGGGCTCCCAGAAAACTTCGAGACTGGGCTGCAGCCTGAAGGCTCGCGCCCCCTGGAGGCTGGCTGCACACTCTACCCACCTGGATGGCCTCACTCTCCCCTCCACCAGGCCTGGTTCTCTTCTCACGCTCGTCAGGCTTCTGACAGGCAGCCTCTCCCTGGTCTGTGGTGCCTTCAATCTTGCCCTCGAGCAGCTGCAATCTTGCCTTTTCTTCCTTTGCAGTATCCCTGGGGTCCTCTTCTCCCCTAGGCTCTCAAGCCTGGCTTAGTGGCAGAGCCTGCCAGCCAGTCGACTTCTAGATGCACTGTGCCCCACCTCTAGTGTCTGCCAGCCACCTCCATCAGAGAGTTTGTCTTCACGAGACTGTTCATTCCGCCTCGGCTCTGCTCAAGAAGCCATGCCCGCTCCTTACTGCCTACCACAGAAGCTGGGAGCCGGAGCTTGACCGTGAAGGTCCCCTCTGATTTGGCTGCCTTCTGCTTTCCCAGTAAGACCTCTACTCTACTACTTGGTCTGCTTCTAAATGCCTGGCTCAGAGGCAACAGGAGTGTAGAAAGCCCTTTGGCTGAGTTCCTGTCCTACCTTCTCCACATGCTCATCCATCCAACCCGCCTCCCAAAACACACACAGACACACACAGATACACACACAGACACACACAAATACACATACAGACACACTCACAGATATGCACACAGATACAGACTCATACACACAAATACACACAGACACACACAAATACACACACGGACACACACACAAATACACACAGACACACACACAGATACACACAGACACACACACAGATACAAACACACAGTCTCACACACACACAGACACAGATCACAGATATACACACATAGTCATACACACAGACATACACAAATTCTCAGACACACATAGACACAGATACATGCACACACAGACACACACACAGTCACACACAGACACACACAGTGCTGTTAGGTCCAAGGAATGAACTTACAGTATTTGCCTCAAACCATACCCATAGGGATGGCCTAAAACCAGATGTTGAAAAGATCATCTGAGTTTGGGAAAGAAAAGATTTAATGGGTGAATTATTTTCATTTTTTATTGAACTATAAAAAAATCAACCTCGTGTCTTAGACTCCACCACATGTCCCAGCTGGCTACTCCCTGCCCCTGGGCCCACATTTTTGTTCTAAGCATAGGAAAAATATGAATGAAAATTTAGCCATGGAAGATCGTTGATTCGGCTATCCCCAGGCTGCGGGGGGACAGAGGTTTACTCACATGCCAGCTCTGATATTGATTAGTAGAGGCGCCTGGAACACTGTGTTGAGAAGGCTGAGAGCCTGAGAAGGACTCAGCAGAGAATAGGACCATGGTTGGTTAGCAATAGCTGACAGACTCAGGATAGGACTGTGTTGACATGAACGTCAGAGATTTGTTTTCCTTGTGTCCTTTATGAGTGAGGACAAGATGTGCCAGGACATTGTCAACGTCACAGGCCAACAGTTAGAAGGGTGCATTCTGTGTGAGGGGTGCCAGGTCCCTGTCCTGTAGGAGAGCAAAATCTACATGGAGAGGTAGACCCAGTCATGGGGCCTCACCAGGAAATTCAAGACACAGGTGCACAATCAATTAGAGATACACATATGTACACACACACACAGACACAGACACACAGGAAGCAGTGAAGGCATACACTCGGCCTGGGAGTTCAGAGGAGGGTCTGAGGCCCATCAGCAGGGATGACTGTATGAGTGCAAGTTCGTGCATGTCGCAGGTGTGCGGGAATGGCCCACGGAGGGGGAGTGCGTGCAGAGAGGGGCACCGACAGAGATTCCAGCGATGTTTGGAGGACAAGGATTTGGACAGAACAGGGCTGTGGACGGGCAGTAGAAGAGGGGGTTGGGGACCCCGGGGAGGCCTCAGTGTGGCAGACAGGCCTGGGCTGTCTGGGCTCAGATCCTGGCTGCACTGTGTACAAGCGTGTGGCCCTGGGATGGGGGCCCTGGGCTTTCTGATGCGAGTTTCCTGTCTGGAAAACGTGACTATGCAGAGAGCCCTCCTCCTAGGGCTACAGAGGGGATGGGGCCCAGGGAGGGCATCCTGGGGGCCCTGTGTGGGCCATTGGGTGGAGAAGCGGTGAGGGGCAAAGGAGTGTTTCCAGCTGGGAGCAGGTTGGGGGATGGGGAGACTGAATGGTGGTGGTTGTTGCGGGTGTTAGGAGACACCCCACCTTCTTTTAGGCCTCCATCTTAGAAGCTGCCCCCAGAGAGCCCCAGTCTCGAAATTACTACATCTACCTGAATTTCAGTAAGTCGAGGGAAGACCTAATTATGCTCCAGAGGAGCAGCTGGGCTCCCAGGAGGGCGAGGCCACTGCCTCCACCCTGGAACAGTGGGGCTTGCAGAAAGACGAGAGAGAAGCCAGGCCTGGGAGCCGCGTCTTCTCACCTGGAGCCACCGCTGTTGCAGCCACAATGGAGAGAGGGGCTCTCTTGCCTCCTCTGCCTCCTTCTCCCTGGTTTCCAGTGATTCCTAGCTGACCATGCTCTCTGACCTCCCACCCCCGACCTCCTGGCCTACCCTATCTTCCGCTAACTTTGATGTGCAGTCACTGAGGGACTGCATGAAATCCATGTTGCTGGGAGGTCGTAGAGATCTGATCTTGTCTGACTGGGAATCAAGGCCATCGGGCAGCTCTGGTTCCTGTGACCCTCACAAGACAGAACCTGCCAGGCCTGCGGCTGTTTCCCCACCTGCATACCTAGGACTCATCTCCCTCTGCACTGGGGACAAGCAGAGGCCACATCAACACACAGGTGGTCACAGAACTGAGTTAGAGGCACAGAGTTTGGAGGCAGACAGCCCTGCACACCTGGGGCAAGCCGCTGTGCTTGCTGAGCCCCAGTGCCCACATCTGTCAGGAGGGAGGGCCAGAGCCCCTGCCTGCAGAGCTGCCGTCAGAGGCTCTCAGCTCAGTGCCTGGTGCAGGGAGGCCTCAGGAAACACAGCCACTCCACCACGCCCACTGCACTGGGCTGCCTCCATTCCCCAGGGGTGCGTCCCAGCTCCCTGTTCCTCCGTTCCTCCTGGAGCCCCTCCTGGACCCCATGGTCAGGGTGGTGTACAAGTGGGGTCTGATGATCCAGAACCTCCCGCTTACCTCATTCAAGCTGGAAATGAGCCCCGAAGAAGAACTGGAGAGGCCAAAGCGCTTCTCGATGGTGGTGAGGCTGCTCTTGAAGTAGGCGCTGTACAGGAGCTGGCAGAGCTGCAGGAGGCCATGGCAGAGCACGAACACCTGGCGGAAGAGACCATGGCCTGTGAGGTCTCCGCACAGGGAGCCCCGGCCGCCCACCTCGGCCTTCCATTCTAGGGCTTGTGGGGCACGGAGGCCCAGCAGCCTGGCCTGTTTCCTCCCCTGGTACTTGGGCACATACTTCACCAGGCGGTCCTGAGGGTCAAATCCCATCATGGTTACACCTGTGTTTTACCCGCAGACTTACTCAATGCAGTTAGCCATTCCCATCATTCCACTGTGATCATAAATGGCCCAGTAAAACCACAGGGTTGCAGAAGCACCTGCCCCCATCCCCCCACCCACTCGTCACAAGGGAAAGGCCTGACTTATCAGCCATATGCCCAAGGCATTCAGAACCTCGAATTGTTCTCTGACAGCACTACGGTGCCTGAGGGCTGCTGCTCTGCTCTTCCTCCTGTGTCCTATGAGGGCTGAAGGCCACTCTGCAGCCAATTCAGGTCACTCCCAGGGGCATGAACAAGCCCTAGGTCACATTGCTCCACTATTCTTTTTTTTAAAAGATTTTATTTTTTCCTTTTTCTCCCCAAAGGCTCCTGATACATAGTTGTGGGTCCTTCCAGTTGTGGCATGTGGGATGCCACCTCAGCATGGCTTAATGAGCGGTGCCATGTCCGTGCCCAGGATTCTGACCGTTGAAACCCTGGGCCGCCGCAGCAGAGCACAGGAACTTAACCACTGGCAGCATGTGGAGTTGGCTCCAGGCTGAGCTCTGGGTCTCCTGCATTCTCAGCTACTGGCCTGAGAGCAGCCTTAAAGCCAGGAGTCCCACAGCCCCGAGCCCCCCGTGGAAGGTGCCCCTTCTGGAGATCACACTTTTTCTCCAGGGAAGGGTGGGGTGCAATTACGTTTCATAGTCTGCCAAAGCTCTTTCCTTAATTGAAGGGCTGGCATCTCAGGAGAGCGACTGGGGCTCCACCTTCATTTCCGTTTCCTTGGAGAACTGAGCCTACCCCCCACTGCAGGGGCCCCGCTCCAGGCTGTGGGATCAGAGCTGACGTTCCCTCTCCTACGTGCCAGGGCAGAGCCTTCGTGAGGCCAGCCTGGGGCTTTCGACGGGGCCAGCACTGTCTGCCTGCCTACGCATCCTTGCTGGCAACCTCCAAATCCGAGGGGGTCATCACACCCACGAAATCAGACACCTCTCCAAACTGCCATCTGCCTGGAGCCCATGTGGCCACCTCACTCCTCACCAGTGGCAGAAGGACGCTTGTCCACCTGGACACAGAGGCAGCAGTCTATCCCTGCCTCCCTGGGGAGGCTCCACTCTGCTTCATTTCATATTCACTGGAATTCTTAACAGTTTGTGATAAAGGTATTTTTGAAAATGTTCTAGTCCCACTCTCTTCTACAAATGGGGAAACTGAGGTCGGAGGGGGGAACCTGAGGGCCTCATATAGCACCCTGCACATAGTAGGCACTCTGGCCTTAGGTGCCAGGCACTGGAGATGCCTGGAGTGGACCAGTTCTGGGCTTGACTGTCACACAATGGAGCAACCACAGCCAGTTCCCACCCTCTTAGATCCTTGGTTTCCCCAACCGTGAGGTAAGTGGGCTAAACCAGTGGTTCTTAACTCAGCTTTGGATCATAATCACCTGGTGGTGGGGGGGTGTCTTTGAAATAGAGAGGCCAGGCCCAAGCTGAATCAAAACCCACAGAGGTGAAACCCCAAAAGCATTACTTGGAAAAGCTCCTCCAGCAGAATCTGATGGGCAACGGGCGTTACCATGAGACTAGAGGACACGTTCTGGCTCTGACCATTTCCGTGCAGAGGGTGATATGTGAAGAGCAGGAAAAGAAAAACCAAATGCAGGCATCCCCTAATCTATAGGAGTTTCCACTATAAGTTGGAAGGAAGACAGGAGCCATGGAGCAGGCTCACGGGAAAGCAACACAAGATGGGTGAGGGTGCTGGTAAAGGTGATGGGGAGAGTGAGGGGATTTGTCCAGGTCGGAGCATTTTCCACGGACACCGGGCATCAGTGTATGCTCAAGCCCTCATTCCCTGGTCCAGGTCAGATCCAGGAAGGAGGCAATTTGATCTTGGATGCCTTGACGGGTCCTCTTCTGACCATCCCCTAAAGGCTAACGCCCCCAGAATACTGACTGTAGTCCCTTCTCTGGACATGGCGCCCTTTCTGCACAGATTCACTGGAAATCCCATCTGTAGTGCCTACATCTCAGTCCCTCATCCAGAACTTTCCCAGAGCTTTATACTCAAGTCCATCCCACTGTCTGCTGGACATGTCCACCTGGACACTCTCAGACCCCTCAGACTAATCACTTCCCAAACAGGGCTCATCGCCGCCCCAACAAACGTCTCCTGTTTTTCCTTCATCCCCCAACACCTCCACTCAGTTCCCCAAGCCAGAGACTGGGAATCCTCAATGCCCCTGATCCTCACTCCTGGCATCTGGTGCCGTTGCTAAGCCCTGCAATTTCCTCTTGGCGCCTCTCGCATTGCCCTGCCCTTCATCTCCAGGTCATGCCTTGCCTCAGGCCCTTTCTTCTCTCCTCTGGGTTACTGCAAGAGCCTCTCACAGGTCTCCTGTCTGCCCTTTTCAAACCTTCCATCCTACCATCCCAGAAAGAGCTTTCTGAAACATGAACATGAGCAGGTTACACCCCAGTTAACACCTCTCACTGGGTCCCCACTTCCTACAAGATAAAAACCAATGCCCTTGGCGTGGTATCCAAGACGCTACAGTCCTACACCTTGTTTGCCTCTTTGGCTTCATATCCTGCTGTGGCTGCTTGTATTTTACAAAGATGGTGACACCAATATGTCCCATCCCACATACACTTCTTACAATGTGACCATGACATTCCTTCATCAAGAGGTAGTGTCTGTGCTCTCTCCTCTTCAATATGGGTCACTCTTCGTTACTTTCTTTGAATGAAGAGAATGACGCAGAAGTGATGCTATGTCACCTCTGAGGCTTAGTCCTGAGACTTAGAGAATCCACTTGGCTCTTTCTCTCCTGGGACCCTTAGAACCCAGGCATCACATTGTAAGGAAGCCCAGTCTTCCCTGCTCATAGAGAGGCCACATGTCGGTGTTACAGCCAACAGCAGCAGCTAATGTTTCAGCCTGCCACCAGCATCAACTACCAGGCAGGTTACTGAGTGAACCTTCAGCAGATTCAGTTCCAGCCTTCAATGCCACATGGAGTAGAAATGAGCTATCCCCACCAAGCCTTATACAGATGGCAGATTCGTGAGCAAACCAAATGTTGTCATTGTTTTAAGCACCAAATTCTGGGTTGCTTGTTATGCAGCACTGGACAGCTGATACACCTTACCCTTCAAACTTCATAAAGGTCATACCACTCAAGTTCCCCACAGTACACATTCATTGTCTGTGTCTTTGCTGACAACCTGCACAGAATCTTCTTCCCTTTCTTTGTCTGGCTAACTCTTCCTTGCCCTTCAGTGGCCCTCTTGCCCAGCATGGGGCTCAGTTATGTCCTTAGTTTAAGGTTTTCTAAAAATCCCAGCACCCTTTTGCTGACTTCCGCTCGGAGGCATCTTGATAACTTGGCCCATGGCTGGCATTAAGGGCAGCATCTAGTGGAGGGGGGAGGGCTCTCATAACAGCCTGGGAGAAAGACAGTGAGGGCTGGACCAAAGGCCAGAGCAGTAGAGATGCAGGGAGGGACTCGATCAGGGGCTCCTACAGAGGTTGAGTTGACCTGACTGATTCCAGGTGGAAGAAAAGGGGCAGCATTTCCAGTCTGAGGGGCAGGAAGGGGCAAGGCGGTATGTGCAGACAGGGAGCCCAGGAGGAGAAGTGCATGTGGAGAGGGAGCAAGCTCAGTTTCAGAACACCCGAGTTTCTGAGCATAAAGCTCAGAAAAGACCAGTCTCCCTCTGACCAAATGAGTAATGAATTAACAGGAGTGACTAGTCTCTGCCAAATTCCCCAGCAGTCACACGAGAGGAAGGTGAGGGCAGCAGGAGAGAAATCGCTCTTAGAACTTTTCCTGAAAGATATGCCTTTGCTCTTTCCAGTAAATACAAAAATCCCCCATTTTCTCCCCTCAGATACTAGCAGGAAGACTGCGCCTAGAGCCAGCTGGCACCTTTCCACACCCCACGTCCCCTCACAGAGCCAACCTTACCGCCAGCTGTTGGCCACTGCAGCCCTGTCAGGTCTGGTGACTTCAGGGTACTCTGGCAGACGTGCTGGCATATATCTGGGCCCCCAGGTTCCAGTGGATTCAACAGATGGAGATGAATGAGATACGTGGCTTCAGGGGAGGGAAAGGCAGGGAAAAAATGCCAGGAAAAGAGAAAGAAGTGGATGGATGATTCCAGTAGAGCTTTCTGGCCAGGACCACTCAGGGTCACAGCCATCTGGCCCCACCTACTGAGCCTATGTGGATGGGACCCTGGGACCATGACCCAGGCAGCTTGAACTTACCAAGTACCTACTCCATGGTTGGCATGAGATGGAACAACAGACAATCGACACAATGCAGGTGAAACAGAAATCCATCCCTCGAGGAGAACGTGGGGTTTAAGAGTATATGTAGATGGATTGGAGAGAGAAGGGAAAGGTTTGCTAGTTGGGTTGCAACCCATCCTCCACCATGATTTGGACAAGATAGAGTCATGGGTCTTGATGGTTTGGGTATTGGAGTCCAATAAGCCTAGGTTCAAATCCTGGCTCTGTAAGGAAGGTGCAACCTTTGACCATGTATCTGACCTCTCTGACAGCAGTTTCCCCAGGGGTAAATGGGAGCTGGATAACATCTGTTCATCTTGTATTGCGAGGCTTGCACAAGAGAATGTGTTTAAAGCACCTGGTGCCCTGTCTGGCCCACAGTGAATGCTCCACATACCAGAGGATAGTTAATAAATTGAGGCTTCCTCCACTCCCTCCTCTTGCCCAGGTCATTGAACCTCTGTTGCTTTCAATTCTCCTGTGGCATGAGAATTCTAGAACTGAATTTCCCACAATGTGTACGCAGAACACCAC